CATGTCTGCCATGCAGATTTCTTTCCTTTCCCACGGAAGCCAGACACAACGTCACAGTCAGTGAAAGCATGGAAGTATAGGATCCCACTAGCTTTCTTAGGCCATATCGCAGAAACTACATCATGAACTGGAATCCATCGATGACTGGCTCCTTGGCCAAAGGCAATCCACATGTTATCAAGACCAAGCTCCTGTAGTGATGGCAGTACAGATACTGCTATGACGACCACGTCAGTGCCATTGGCTTTGATGATGAGGGACTTGCTACCTTCCATTGCTGCATCCCTAACATGTACAAATATTCGTGTGTCTGCCTCCTCATGACAGCCTGGAGCCACAGCTTCTAGGGACTTCTCTGTGTTGCTAATGGCATCTTCTCCTTTGTCACAACCACCATGCTTGTCGTCTGTGCTTCACACATTTTCTCCGCGAGAAAATGGAATAGTTCTGTCTTGTTTTTGTCATCTCGCAGAAAGCTTCTCCAGTTTTTGGAAGTCTTACTGGTTCCTGTAGCTCTTCTCCTGATCCCCTGTCCTCGTTTCGACCTGGCTTCAGACTTCAGACTTGACTTTTTGTACACATCAAACACTACATCCACCCTATTGTATTTGGCACCATAGAATTCCACTTTGGGCAGGATGTCTTCACTGGCATAGGCATCAAAAGTCTTTGAGGTGCGTGGAGGCAGGGCATTGATCAGTGCTGAGCCATCTATGATGATAGCATCTCCATGTGGTTCTCTATCTATAGCATTCACTTGTGCTTGAAGAATTTCAGCCAGCTGTGACTTCTGACATGTATGAAGCTTGCCATTGTCACTGAGGGAGGCAGAAGCTGACTAGTTCTCATGCTTGAATAATTCTTGCAAGTCATACTGTCTGTTCTGACTGGAGATGAAGAATCGCGAGAACAGCTGACAGTCATCTTTCAATACCTTCTCTTTGGAACTGCTAACAACGTGGTCATGTTTGAAGGAGGATCTGTTCTTCTTGATTGGATGGTGGAACAAACATTTACCTTCATTCTTTAGTCCCTCTAAGAATGACTGGAATTGCTCTTTTCCTCTGTCATGGTGTTTACCAACCATTTTAGCAATATCTGGATCTACAATGTTCTTTGTGTCTAACACCAGAAGGTCAGATGACTCTTCTTGGAAAGGGTTGCCCATCTCCCACAGCACCTTGGAATGTGCTTCCACCTTCTCAAAGAAAGATTTCTGTGCACTCAGGGTCTGCTCATGATGTCGGCTGCTGGTGGTGGTTCCATCTTTTGCACCTGACGCAGCTTCATATCCAGCAACAAGACGACTCACTTCAGGTCCAGCCACCATCCACCTACGAAGTGCTGCTGGGTCCTCAGCCAACCCAATTGCTCCTCCATCGCCTTTAATCACTGCATTGTTTTGTTCAGGGGCTTGATCAATAGCAATGGCAGAGAACTCTCTTCCTGACTTGTGGACAACAAAGTTCCCCTTGTAGAACTCCCTCGCTACCTCTGGATGTTGTTGCTCAAGGCACATCATGTCTCGAAGGTGTATTGGAAGCCAACGGGCATAATTAACATTGTTGTTCGCAAAAAAGTAGGGGATCAGCTCTGATAGTGCTTCAAGGTAGAGTTTGAAATTGCCTTCCCTGAATGAGCGGATCAACATGAAGATGTTGAGCTCCATGTCGAGCACAAGGTTCCAGAATTGGAACTGTGAACTCTCAAGCCTCCGTTGTTTACACCAGTCTTCAAAGCTCAAAGATGACCTTTCAGACTCATCAGAGCAATAGTCCTGGTATGCCTCCTTCATCAGTTTGTACAAGCTGCATGCTGTGACTTGATGTGCTAGTCTTGTCTTAGTTACACTTGATACAGACAGAAAGGACTCTGCTGTACCAGATGAAGCCACTCCTGCTTCAACAAGGGAACCGGTCCAACCACTGTCTTGTAGTAGCGTTCCTAATGATCTCAGTGCAGCCATCTTTATCTGAAGTCCCCCGAACATAATAACATACCTGTCTTCTCCAAACTTAGGCCAATGCCATTGGATTTGTTTTGCCAGGGCATACAGTGGCTGGTCAGCAGCTATGACTGGGATCTGACCTGGGTTCAGAAAAGCCACTGTATCACGAACCTTTTCCATGACATGCTTGATGGTTGCCACACCATCCAGATAACTAAAACCCCGTTATCCTTGGCTGGGCTCTCCCGTGCTGGCACGTCCTGTCAATTCAGGTGCGGCTGCTTAACTGATTTGGGGTTGGTTAAGCAGCATTTGCGACACTAAGCTGTTGCAGTATGACATGCTTTTTCTTAGATGACACTGAACCCCATGCTGGGTTGCACAGCAGTGATGTCACCAGTGTGCCCTGGTAATGCCCGACAATCACTCCCTCACATGCAGCGACCCTCTGCATGCTACCCTCACCTAGTTGGAAAAAACATAAAACCAGTACATAAAACCAGTCATAAATAAGACAAATATATATATCTGAGAGTGTCGGAAATAGAAACAAAAAATCAACTGAGCATGCTTGAAAACATATATATATCGACACTAAGATCATTTAGATTGACCAACTACATCAATTTCTATAACAAAATCATCTTTCAAAGGTCAATTTGGCAGCCATCTTGAAAAATGGCCGCCATCTTGGATTTCAAAATGGCCAATTAGGCAGATTTGACAAGTAGCCCCTAGGGTATGATCATGCCAAATTTCATGTGGTGTATAAACATTTGCACGATTTTTCCATTATCCGCTCTACTACATGTGTCACAGAAAGACTTCTGGTTGAAGCTAGTTTGATTAGGGAATTCAATTCTATAAACCTTAGTGATGGTCAGTACAAAACTGATAATATGTTACAGAAATTTATTTGTCAGTGGCCCAAGGTTAAAAATGCTTTTAAAGCATTGGAGTTAGCTGTAGGATAGATGATTAGTGGGTCACATATTTTTGACCTGACTTAAGTTGACTAGTCACGTCACCCTTTCTATTTAAGCTCCTTTGCGTGTGTGGTGGTGTTGGTGTGTGGATTAGTGGATGTTATGTTTATGACCTGACCTCATGTTTAGAAAGGTCACCCTGTGCACTTAAGCCTCTCTCTGTCCATGTAATTCAGTTGCCTCTGAAGATGTCTTGAATAAAGACGAAAGGTAAGGTGCTCCATTGTTTTCATTTTCCCTGTGTGATTTTATCAATATATATATATATATATATATATATATATATATATATATATATATATATATATATATATATATATATATATAGCCCAATAAAGCACGCAGACTTCTACATACAATCAACACCTCACCCCGCCAGGATTCGAACCCATTAGGAGGTTGTGAATTTATCATTTGTATCACTTAGGTGGTCAGAGTAACGTTTTACCAAATCCGGCTTCGAAACACAAGGATCCTTATATATTTCAGTAGCCCAATAAAGCACTCAGACATCTACATATAATCAACACCTCACCCCGCCAGGATTCGAAGCCGGATTTGGTAAAACGTTACTCTCACCACCTAAGTGATACGGGTAGTCCCCATTAAAGGTTCACGGCGCCATAAGCTCGTTGAACAGGCTTTGTGTGAAATATAACAGGGTCTAGGACTGCTTTTAGTATCCTGGTGGTCTACTGGTAGCGTTCCCCGGTCACAGTCGTGGGCCGTGGGTTGGAATCCTGGCTGGGTGAGGTGTTGATTATATGTAGAAGTCTGCGTGCTTTATTGGGCTAATGAAATATATATGGATCCTCGTGTTTCGAAGCCGGATTTGGTAAAACGTTACTCTGACCACCTAAGTGATACGGGTAGTCCCCATTAGAGGTTCACGGCGCCATAAGCTCGTTGAACAGGCTTTGTGTGAAATATAACAGAGTCTTGTACTGCTTTTAGTATCCTGGTGGTCTAGAGGTAGCGTTCCCAGGTCACAGTCGTTGGCTGTGGGTTCGAATCCTGGCTGTGTGAGGTGTTATATATATATATGTATATATATATATATATATATATATATATATATATATATATATATATATATATATATATATATATATATATATATATATATATATATATCACTGTAGGTGGTGTGCGTGATCCGTATAAATGCTGATAAACCACAAGAAAACACGAAGTTCCCAAGCGCTTTCGTGTTTTTTTAATTTGTTAACTTTCCCGAAAATTTCAGCTTATTACAAAGATGTTCAAGATTAGGAATATATCTGAACTATTTCTCTTGCACTAGAATCCAAAGTTACCTGTTGTATGTTGGGTTTCCAGTGGACTTAACAAAATGTTAGGCCACCACTGACGATTTATTCCTTTCTGATTTTTTAAATATAATGGAAACGAGATCAAGCAATTAAAATACCGTCCTTATATCTGAGGGTTGGCGACCACTGCCCTCCAGAAAAAAAATATAGTTATGTTTTTTAGGACTGTTTTATTACCAATCCTCTGAGAACGTGCATCTCTCTAGGATCCAATTTGTATTTCAATTCATTTATCCCAGTCTCTGGCTTCCCTTGGTCCAATTACATCCCTGTTTATATGACTAAAATATCTTATTTTCTTTTTTTTATATCAATTTAGAATATTTTTCATGAAGTTCTCGCCAATATTGGTATTTCTTCATTTGCTTTTCTCTTTGTTTAACTTTTTTTTATTATTATCTAATAACACCACATTTCAACGGCCTCTAACCTCTTTCTTGAGTCCTCTGAAAGTGCCTACAATTCTGATTCATATAACAGTTCTGTCCATACAGAGCATTTCAGCAGCCCTTTTCACAAAGTAATATACCTTTAGATTAGTAAGTGTTTTTGAATAAATATTATAAATAACTCAAATAATTAAGACAATTTCTTGCTTTCGATCGCAAATTAAAGTTATAAACGAATAATTAATAGTTGCACACGTTGTTCTGGCTATATTGTTAATCACGCTGGAAAATAAATCCTGACAATTGTTCAGTTACACATTATAGTTGACATGAAGAGGTGATTTACCTTTAGAATAAGATATGCGATCAAATATTTCATTGATCTCATCAGGATGTCCAACAGGGATGCTAACTGGGTGTGATGATTCAAGCCAGTCCAAGGCAAACACACTCTGGAGGTCATCAGGTACAAATTGTTCCATCATATTCCAGCTGGGCTCAGCCTGCAAATGTCCGCCTATATGATTTCATCTTACTATAACTGTAACGTTTTAAGTGCTCCAATTGCATTAATAACATAATTTTGTGATAGCTTATTATTGTATTCGTCACATTCTTAACATAATTTATTGCTGCAAATTATAAATCAAGTTTTCTTTTTTACGTTTAATATACTCACTGTAATACTATGAAAAAAAACATAATACAGAGATAAAATTTATCGTTAATTATATTTTTTCTTTTCCTATGCCTTGGTTCGACTCTTACTGTATGTTCTACAATGCAGTACCTCTCTTCATGGGTTTACATAAAGTATTTGATGTTTAAATATTCAGTTCATGTCATTACAGCATTTTTACCTTTAATAGTTGAAACTTACGTGATCGACACCAATATATTCCATGAAACTGGCGAATCCCTCATTCAGCCAGAGATCAGTCCACCAGTCGGGGGTGACTAAGTTGCCGAACCACTGGTGCGCCAACTCATGTGCAACCACCACTGCCACACGCTGCTTGTTGTACGCAGCAGACACTGCTGGATCGTAGAGCATGGCAGTCTCCCTGCACAGTTGGTGACGTATAACTTCATTATTCCTTGCATAAATTTTCTTCATGACACATTGCATTATTTCTAATTGAAAAATTATAATTTCTTCAATTTTTTTAAACTTATGGAGGACATCGTACCAGGGTGGGGAGTCCAGGGGATGGCTGCTTCCTGAGCTTCTCTTCGTTTAAAAAGGATTTGGGTCCTAATCTGTAAGAGTGTCGAGGAACAACGTAGCTGTGTGTGGCCTTGTTACAGCCAGTTCTAAGTAAGGTCATCTGCTGCCCATTCCCCAAGATACCGACATGACCAGGGTATCCATAGGAATGTCATGAGGACGGCCCCTTCATCCTGAAGTGTGGATGTTAACCCTCGTATTCGGAGGATGAGGTCCTTATTTTCCCCAGATCCAAATGCAAGCAAGTGATCCCGTCGAGCAGACCTGGAATCGCAGCAGACAAGCAAGGGGCAGAAACCATCTGCTTTTCCTCAGCGAGAAGGGCAGCAAGGAGGGCTATTAGTTCAACCTTGAGGAGGATGCCCTGTCAGAAACTCTGAGAGACAGTTTGATAGGCTCAGGGCATGAGGACGGGAGATGCAGACACTGTGCCCCGGCCCTACCTGTAGCGGGTCAACAGAACCATCAGTGTAGTGACGACCCTACCTGGGGACCAGTGAGCGATCCTGAGAGGTGGTGGCTGCAGAGAATAACAGGGTTCACCTGGGATTTTGAGCGGTCCACTGAGGGCAATCACT